ACTATAATATTACCAGATCAGTTTTTTTCCTCAGTCTTTTATTATTTAGGATGAGATTATTTTTACAAAAATGAAACGATTGATACACACATGACACATTATATTAATTGTTCATTTATTTTTATAGCATTAATTAATTTTTCTTTTTATTACATTCTTATCTTATATTTCTCTTTCTTTCTCTTCCTTTTCTACCGTATCTTATAACTTTTAATTTTTTTTAAAATTGTTTATCTTCATATTTATATATACGTTTGAATTTATGTGCTTTAATAAAGTTTAATTGAACTTTTACAGGTAATGCTATCGATCTAAGAATAAGAAATAAAGGGAGGGCGGGGGTTGAAAGTCAAGCATAATTTTTTTTTATATGTGTGAATATTTGAATTTTTAATTAAAAATATAAAAATATTCATGAGCATATTATATTTTTAAACATATCCCTCTATCCTTGTTCTATAAAGCATAAAAATATTTATATTAATGAAAAAACTCGATCCTCTGACCCACATTGAATTTCTATGATAAAAAGTTTTTTTGTTCATTTATATAAGTAAGTTGAGAGGACAAAATTTACGAAGCTAGCATTCACTGAGTCAAAACTAGAATTTGTGAGTAAAGAAATTATAGAGAATAATGAGATTGACCGAAAATCTAGAGTTGAGAAGAGAAGTTTTTTAGTTCATTGTGGGGAACGCATCAACGTTTGACCTCAAAACCGTGTCTCTTGGCGATGCATGTTGCCAAAGTTTCTCCCTTTCACGAGCCAACCTTGTTCTGGCGGTTAATGCTTAGAATATTGAGTTGAACGCAATGATGAGCCCTCTGGTTCCCTCTGTGGGAAATGGAAATGAAAGTTCAAACGAACCCTTCTCATCAATGTTTTCTGACCTTTTTAGGAGGCCAAAAAGTGACAAACATGTCTTTTGGAAACACCAGGCATACATACGTGAAAACATGCAACAAACACACATCCACGTAGACACATGAAGATGCAGATTTGATTCTATGTGAAAACATGGGTAACATGGGTGTGTCTGTTTAGTGTCCACCATTTTGTTAATCACTCACTGTTCGGTCAACCTCACACAACATGGTTTTTTTACTTTTCAAATGGTTGACTTGATTTAATTCATATGCAGATTAAGAGGGGTATGGATTTAATGTTTTGATTAGTGTGTGATCGAGGAAATAATTAAGATAATGTTTTGCAGGAGTACCAAGATGAGATTAGTATTTTGCGTTCAGGATTGTACCAGTGGGGTGGTGATGCTGCTTCGTATGAGAAAAATGAGCCTTACATAGAGGTGATAACCTCTCCAAACAACCCTGATGGGACTATTCGAGGACCTGTGGTGAAATCTGAGGCTAAAGGAAAGCTGGTTTACGATCTTGCATATTACTGGCCACAATATACTCCCATTACTCACCAAGCTGACCATGATCTCATGCTCTTTACATTCTCCAAATGCACTGGTCATGCTGGTTCACGTTTCGGGTGAGTTTCATCGATCTTAATTCACAGTCAATATTCAATCATGCCGGTTCATGTGTGTGGAGTTTTGATGTTGTAAACTTTTTGAAACCTGTATTCAATTTCTTGAAATGAGCAAACGAGCACATGCTAAGTTTTGATTATGGTGAGAGTTAAGGTGGGCCGTGGTGAAGGACATTGAGGTTGCTAGGAAGATGACAAGGTATGTGCAGATGAGCTCCATTGGAGTGTCAAAAGAATCCCAAACTCGAGTGGCTAAGATCATTGGAGTGGTTTGTGATGGATACCAAAACTTCGGGTCCATGGAGTCTGAGCTCTACTTTGAATACAGCAAACGCCTCTTGAGGGAGAGGTGGGGAAAACTGTGGGCTGTTATAGATGAATCCAAGCTCTTCTCAGTGGCTAGGTACCCAATGGCCTTTTGCAACTTCACCAATGAGTCATCCGAACCATCCCCTGGTACTTCATTTTCATAAGACCCATTATTCTTTTTGTAACTTTGAGTAGGAATGACTTAAAATATGTGTATGGTACAGGTTTCATATGGTTGAAGTGTGAGGAGGGCATAGAAGATTGTGAGAGTTATCTGCTGGGAAAACTGAAGATTCGTGCAAGAGGAGGAAAACGATTTGGTGTTGATTCCAAGTATGCGAGAATTAGCTTGATAGGAACGGATGGTGATTTCAATGAATTTCTGAAAAGGATTTCAAATGCTTAGAAGGAATGAGAAAAGGTGTAAATTCCTGAAGGAAGCCATTGTTGGAACAGTAGCTAGTTCTGCACCGCCTTGCCACACTTGTGTTGTTTTCTTAGAGTAGAATATATGTGATCAAGGATGAGTGCCATAGGATATGAATAAGAATAAACAATGTTGCATCCACATTTATTAAATGTTTAATGTTTCCGCTACTTTATATAAATAAAGCGCAGTTACTTGTATTTAAATTTTAGTTTTCTTTTGAATATATTTTTATCGTCTTAATTTGAGTTCAATTTATTTTGCTTTTTAAATCTTAAATTAATACTTTAATCTCTATAATTAAAAAAAAAAGGATTGAGTCTCTCATTCTAAATGTTGTTTGGTGTCAAAATAATATTTTGAAATAATAATAGATAATAATATTAATTCAATGATAAGAATATAAATAAAATTGAAGAATAAAAAAAAACTTTAAATTAAAAGAAGTGAAAAGATCAATTTTAAGTTAAAAAAATTAATTAAAAGTTAAAAATATATTTAAATCTCTAGCTTTTAATTCATGATTTTAATCATAGAATTTGATATATCTTATTGATATATCTTACTGATGAAATTTATCGATTTTTTATTAAAATTTCAAACTTTACAAAAGTATAAGCAATTATATATATATATATATATATATATATATATATATATATATATATATATATATATATATATATATATATATATATATATATATAATCCGTAGAATAGAGAAACAAGAATATGTCAAACTAAAAATAATAAAATAAAATATAATAAAAAAATCATATTTATTATTAAAAATTAATTATTTAATAATATATGAAAAAACATATTACATTCTCATCTGACATTTCTATAAAAAAATTATATAAATAAATAAAGAAAAAAAAATACATATATATATATATATATATATATATATATATATATATATATATATATATATCCTTTTAAGTGTCAATGTTAAATTTTTTCTTGTAGTTACTATTAATTATTTATATTCTACATGTTATCTCAAAATATATTTTATTTAATTTTACCACATTATATAGATTTTTGTGATGTACAAATTATTTTATCATTATTCGATCGCAATCTAGATAAGATATTTTAAATATAGTATAATAGAATTGTAAAAATAAACTTAGATATGAAAAAAATCGAAAAATATATTTAAAACATTATAAACTAAATTAAATCACACATTTTTACCTAATTTATTTATTATAATTTAAATAAATTTAGGTCCAATCAACTTACTCTAAACTTTAAAATCCTAAAGTCAGTTTGTTAGTTAATTTGTTTTATAAAATAATATTATTTTATTAAAAATATATAATATTATTATTTATATATAATAATTATAATCATAATTAAAACTAATTTTATTTAAATAATTTACATTTTAAAAAAATATATTTCATCTTTAATTCTTTTTTTTTAACTTTTTAAAAACAGACCGGGATAACTTGTTAGCTGGAATAAAGACATAATAAAAATATCACCCATTTAAAATTGAATATTGTAATTGTATGAGATGAATATCTAGGTATAAATATTTTCCTTCTAAGTCTAATTAAAGATATAAATAAAAATTTGAAAGTAATGATATATTTCTTAAAATTCAAATAAAAAATGTTCCCAGTTATTTCTTATACATAAGACAAGAGAGAATGATTAGTTTTGATTCGTAACATTTCAAAATAAAATTTATTTTAGTATTTTTTATATATCCTTTAAAAAATAATTATTTGTAAAGTTAGAAGAAGACTTAAATGATCAATACTTGCAATCTCAAAACCAAATGCATTACTCCCATATATGTTGTTGTCTTTTACAAGAAAAAAAATAAAATAAAATAAAAAAGAAGACAAATCCAAAATCCCACTCCAAAGTCCCATGACTGTTCATGATAAGTTTGGGTGTTCCTTTCTGTACTTCTTCCATATCTTATTAAAATTCTTGATTTACTTTGTTTCGGAATGGATATGAATATTCCAAAAGGTAACTTTTACATTCTGAAATAATCATTCTGAATTATAATTATCACATTCCAGAATAAGAATATTCATCCCGAAAAATTTTAACATTCCAGAATAAAAAAATTACGAACCAAAAAAACTTATAGGGTTAGTCCACAAAAATTTTCTAGGAAACGTTAAAGACTAGAGGTTTGAACTCTTGTTTCTCGCAACTGTAATTGGAATTAATGTTTTCTTTATTAAGGTCAACATCCAGATGAAAATTGTCTAGAGGTTTTTAATGAATGGTAAAAAACCAAAGTTTTCGTCCAGAAAGATATATGGCATGATATTAATACAAAAGAAGGGTCAGTTTTTGAATACAAATAATTAAGAGGGGAGAAATATTCAGTCGTCGTAGTACGAAAGCTATCAATTCACTTACAAATAAATCAAATTGAAGACAATGAGAAAATATTGACACATAGTAAATAAAAAGCAAGATATTAAAAAAAAAAAAAAATCAAGCATTTCCCCAACAAAAAACAGATTTGAAGAAAAGGACTTACACAGAAGATACAGCCTTACACTAGCCAATTCCTGATTTGTAGTTACGAACTTTATGGACAAGGGGCAACTTACGATCTGTTGCCAAAACAATTATCATGATGGGAGATATCATCAGGCCAGCCAAATAAACTCTAACTAGTTCAACTCAATAGTTCCTCTCCCATCCACCAGTTTAAAACCATTAATCATGGAAGTTGACACGATTATTTGGTGAAATTCAAGCACCAAAGAAAAATACAAGTTCTTAAATAAGCCGTAGTTCGTACTCTCCAGCCATCGTTATGTATCTCACCCATGGAAGAGCCTGATACCCACTTTTCTCAATAATCTTCAAATATCTAACCTATAAAACCAAAACAGTTCTCCATGTTCATCATCAAATAAAACCTTCAGACAACCGAATAACATCAAAATATGTGCTAAATTTTATTTTCACAAATATATAATGTGGGTGGCACATGTTTCATTCAGATGGTATGTTTCCACGTTCACATGGATCAAACAAACTATTTTTCAAAACTATTAATCGTGGACAACGGAATAAAATCAAGTTCATTAGGTTTTTTATCCGTTTCAAATGTCCACAATCAATTCTTTATTTTAATATTTTATAAATATTTATTCTCTATTCTGAATATCAACTGAATTGTGAAAATAATATTAACTAAAAATTCATCAAGTTCACTACAACACTCAATCCATTAAAACAATCAGATGTTAACAGGCACATGGAGAGAAAAACAGAATGAAGGGAAGAATAAATATTGATTAAAATAAAAGGTCACATTTGACCTACATTTAATCAGATATACTAACAGACTATATCCTATGCTGAAAATAGTCTAGCCATATTCTGTATATAAGAAAACCAGATTTACGATGCAATACCTGTATGCCAGAAACTGTAAAGTATGGTATTTCAAATTTGACACCTATAGGGGCTTTTCTCTCAGGAGTTGCTTCTTCATCTGTTATACTGGGAAGACGAAACTCTGCTCTCAACATATATTCCTGAAAGTATCAAAGAGGAAAATCAGATCCAATAAATTATGTTCAAAATGAGATTCAAAGAGTCAATGCCAATTCCAAGTGAACTCATACCTTGCCTCCAGGGAAGGATCTAATTTTCCAGATTAACGCATCCTTTTCAGGTGCATATGATGCAGATCCCATTGAAGTTCGAACATTAGGATTTGTTGCATCAACAGGTACAGGCAACTCAATCTCAACGTTTGTGGCAGTGCTATAAAATAAATTCAATTAGTTGGGGCAGTTGAGGCAGTCTAACTTCGAGAGAGCTAAAACCTGATTTCCCCATCTTCTATCATCAAGGGGGAGGAAACATAACAAACATAAGAAAAGAAGAAATTGCATTACCTACGTTCCTTAAATTGACTCCTTGCCTTTACCATAATCTCAATCCGACTCTTTGAATGTTTTTCAACATTTGCTTCCACCCAAATTAAAGGCTTAACCTGAAAAAGTGATGGTAGAATCAACAGAGACTTCAAAATGATTTTACTCTCTCTTTATCTGTGTTTACCTCTGAAAATAGAAACTTATATCATATCTAGAGAAAAAGATGAACCTGTGTACCGAGCCTGTATGTCATCAAATCAAATGACCCATCAGGTGGTATAAAGGAAATTGTTCGGTCATTTTCAAATCGAGCCAAACGCACACACCTTCATAAAAGGCCAGATATAATTTGAGAACTAGCTTCAAGAAGAAGAACATGCTTAAAAAAATTGTACAAAAGTGCTCAGTCTAAATTATCAGTTTCCAAATAAGGAAGTCCAGCATACATACTGATGAAATTTGATGTCTTCCAAGTCAATAGCCTTTCCCTTGGTTGTTCTACCTTGTGCCTCTAACAATACTCTATCATTTAAGCCAAGTTTGCACTCAGGCATACCACTGCATTAGATAAGCCATGAAAGGCACACTTGAGTTTCAGATAAATACACTAGTATGTATTTTGGGTTAGCACGGTCTTCCAAACAACTCTCAACTGTAAAAAAAGTAGGGAGTGAAACATGGATTCAGTGGTAGGACCTGTCTGTAATGTACCTAGCAAGCAGACAGTGGATATATGTAGGTCTAGCGAGATCTGTTAAAGAAAACCTCTGGACTAAGGAGTACCAAATGAAAACAAGGCTGTGTTTTAAATTCCAGATAGCAACACGTAGTGACTGGTCTCAAAAATGCTACAGTGGGATAGCTGCTATCTACAATTTTTTATATAGTTTATACAAAGCATACTATATACATACATATTCTAAAAATTGGTAAAATTACTAAAAACTAATTATATTCAATTCATAATTAAACAATAAAAAGTCATCGGTGGCAGCAAAACATACAAGCAAATACCAACAAAAGTCAAATATAAGCTTCCTAGATAGGATAATTAATTATTATCTTCTAAATCCAAGTCTTCTTTATAATTTTCACTACTATAAGAGTTGCAGAATTCTATGTCATCTATAATGCAGCAGTGCATTGCAGCAGTGCATTGCAGCAGAGCAGTGAGGCACAATTTTGAAGCGTGGCTGAAACAGCCACAACCAAGGTGATGCAACACAGGCATGATCGTGATTCTTGGCCAGGTCTCACTGAAGCCCATGTGAGATATAAAAAATATCCTCATTTTTTAATCTTTTAGTGACAGTATTTAGGGGTCTCATACTGTTTTAAGGTTATTAGCTTTTAAAGAAGCTCTTCCCGTATTGGCACCCTCTGCAAGCCCTAACTCTCTCTCCCTGCTTCTTCTTTGCACCTGCCCAATGTCTGATATCCTTCATGTTTCTTCAGCAATCTGCATTCTCCAGCCAGGGCTTCTTTACTGGCAATCATATTCAGTTTCAGACTTCAGATTTTTTTTTTAATTTGTATTCTTTTCGTTTTAATTTGTGTTCCCCTTTTTTTGATATTTATTTTGGCCTTTTGTTTCCTGGACTTTAACGGTATCTACTTCATGTTTAGTTTTGGTACTGAGTTTTTATTAGAATGATAATGAGTGGATGAATATGGGAGTTATTTTTATCTTTTCAGTTTTCATATATACATGTTCTTATATATTATTAATTATTTATAACATATATAAAAATATCTCACTTTTAGGGTAGGCTGCTTCACTGTCCAGGATTGACTACCATGTTAGAATTCATTTTTCGAAATTGAAATCCCACATACCCCCCTCCCACGGGGAAACCCTAATGACGTTGTTTACAGGGCTTAGCACCACCCATCATTTCATTTGGTCTGCATCGCTACTACTCTAAACCGCTCCACTAGGACAGCCAATGTGGCGAGCAGGTGCCACTCCGCTCCACTATGCTGCTATAGCACACTACTTAAAGCGCAGAATAAAGCTAACCACAAGCTTGTTTAATCAGTAGAAAGTAAAAAACAGAAAACGTCCTGATAGCTGATTCCATTTGCAATCCTCAAAATTTACCTATACAAATAGTTTTTAGAAAAGATTCAACCCAAGGACTAAGTCTAGGCTTGGTTCTCTAATCCCTAATGTAGCTCTTCAGTCCTCACCAACAAACATACATACATAGTATACTATACCCTGCACATATGATTAGACAGAACAACAAAACAATCAAAACGGAAAGCCAGAAAACTGAGATCCGCACATTAGGGCCCCTAAACCAACATATTAGAATTTAGACATATCAATAAATAGTAGAAAAGCCCAGTTAGTAGTTAACTAACAGCCAATGTAGCTAGAAAATCAATAGATCTCCAAGAAAGTAGAAAGCCAACCTCAAATACGTTCTCATCTTCAACGCCCCAACAACATCAGATCTAATTATTTGCCCATTGCTATTGACAAGTATATTAACATTCTCCACCACATCCAAGAAAACCTGAAAACACAATCGCTTAGACCATCAAATTACAATTAAAAAAGCTGAAGATTCTTCACTTTGCAACGGTTACCTCGTTTTTCTTATAGCTTATGCCTTCGCTGCGCCAAGACACAGCATTAGTCACAGCCATGGGAGGTCTCTGCGTAACTTCCATTCTATAAGCATCAGTCTTGATAAACTCACTAAGAATCTGGGCCTCAGTGTACTGAGGATAGCCAAAGTCCATAATCTCATCAAGTAGCTCATACTGCCAACGGTACAACAAATCAAAAGTAACGACACAATTCAACCAATTCATTCACGCAATCGACAAAACAAGTAATTAAAACGCGAATTCATCGGCATGTTACCACGACGACGAAGTTGTCCCTAAGCGATTCCTCTTCCAATTCTTCGAAGTAGTGCTTAAACACCTGCCAAAAAAACACGGATCGATGATTATTCACATAAACTAAACCGCGAAACTCCCGATTTGGAAAGGATTGAACAAAGGAGGCGTACATCGACGATTCGGTGCAGGAAGAAGAGGAGGCTAGCGGCATTGCAATTCTGTCTGGTGGCTATCATGACGTAGACGTTGCTGTGCTGAATGAATATGTAGGTCACACCGTTGTCGAGCACGACCGGATCTTGAGACTGCGGATCCGCCTTGAATGAAAAGGAGACGAGCTAGAGCGTGAGGATTCGCGTTGCGAGAGTGAGTGGAAGAGAGAAGAGAGGATAAGCGGGAGGAACCTGTTTCTCGATGAGCTTGGTGAAGAAGCGTTCGGCGTCGAGGGCTGATACGTCGCCTCGGTAGTCGCGCCAGATGAGGACGCGGCCTTTGATGTCCAGGAGGAACAGAGCAGAGGCTGCCCCTGCCATTGCTTGCTCGTGCAGTGATCGGAGCCTGGCTTCCAATCAGATCAGCGCCACCGTCAACACAGAAAGGAGAAGAAGAAGAAGAAAATCAAGGACTAGTATACGACGCCGTTGCCACAGAAGAAATTATTCTTATTTATTTATTTTAATAATCACTTTTCTTATCTCCAACAAAAATTAATTACGACCAATTAAATTAGATGGTTTAATTTTAACATATAAATATATTATGTTTTAATAATTTTAATATAACGAAATTACCAATAATTCTAACTAGTTGCGCATAAGCACTTACATGGTAATTTTTCTATGAAAAATGAGAAGAAAATTTGAAGTAAATTAGTTTATTTATGAAATAATTTACAAGAAAAAATAATGTTAAGTTCTTAAAAAAATAAATTTAATTTATGATTTTATGAAGGTTTCATTATTAACTTTAAGAATAGCAAAAATACAATAATAAAATAAAGATTTAAATGATTGTATTAGTAATACTAAAAGGTTTCTTTAGTTGTAACCTTTTAATCATGCTTTGATTACAATGTGTAAGATTTAGAAGCATTCTAATCCCACCTCATTAGAGACAGAGATATAGATTATAGAATATTTCTAATGTTTACATAATTTTTTTAATAAATCAATGTTATGAGATTCAATCCAACACATTAAGACAAGTTTTAACCTTGATGCACTTAAGACTCCGATGACTATGGACCCTCCAAGATGAATCTTTGTTGATCACACCGAGTCAAGTCATTTTAGCTAACTTCTCATGACTAGGAAGGCTGTGTAACCTCAATCAACACTCCAAGTCAAGCCATTTTGAACTTGAGGTACTTATAATTAGGGTGTCTGCATATTGGATTAATTTGGTTAAAATAAAATAAAATTCAAACACCTTTTTTTTTTTTAATCCAATCAATTGAATTTAAATTTGACCGAATCCAATCCAATTTATGTGGTTTTGCTTGTATATCATAATCTTACTTTTATTTTTCTTTAGATAAAAGTATCCATTAATTGATATTAAATAATAAACATAATGAAGAACTAATATTTTAGTTTGTTCATTGTATACAATAAATATTTAGTTTATATAGCTAAAATTTATGGTAAATAAATATCATAAATTATATTTTAATTAAATTTATAATAAATAGATATTTATAATAAAAAATTATATTCTCAATTTAGGTTTACAAAGAAATAAAACAAATTTATCTCCCGCCAATTCTTACAAGACATTTTATATTCAAAACGATAAGCACAATATTTAATAATTAAAGATATATTTAGACAAATTTTAGAAGAAAACCATAAATTTTATTTCTAAGTCGGTTAAAATTATATTAAGGTAAATACTAATTTACAGAAACTCTTTTATATAATTTATATAATTTTTTATTTTTAACTTATATATAAAATAGTTATAACTTGGAAAAGTCAATTTTTTTCTCTATTATAAGTATTTATGATAAAAAATTTCCAACTATTTCTTTTAATAATATATTTGTTTTGTAAAACTGCAATTTTGTAAAAAGTGTGTTGTATAAAAATATCCATAACTAGTCCTCTTTTTTTTATAGGGGTGTTTTTGGACAGAGCAGAAGTGAGCAAAAACAAACCAAGGATAAGAACCTTTTCCTGAGCTTCTTCTCATCAAGGCGAATATTACTGTGCAGATCTCTGTTTTGGTATAATCATGCATGCATTCAAGACCTTTTGCTACATCCAATCCAATTGAAACCTAACACACCAAGAAAGAGGCTGGTGACCTGTTCCAATACCATGGTTTAGAATTCTTTATGAATCTAAAAACAAATATTTTACAACGTTTTAGGAGTTACACATTAAGCACAGTAACTACTCCCTATGGTACTTAACTCTTATTTATATAATCAGAAAGCTTAAACAACTGCAGAAACAACCAAGAATAGGCTAGGTGTGCCTAACAAAATGAGTAGCAAAGGCATACATTACTAATTTGTAAGTAAGATCCTGTGGACAGGAATCCAAAACTGAGAGCCGAGTATGCTAAGTTGCTGCTTTCATTGCCAGTCAATCAGCAACTTGATTCCCCTCCTTTAAGGTGTGTTGAAAGGAAAGTTTCCACTTGAGGTTGATGAGACATTAATTTTTGTATAAAAGTGAATACAAGTAATGAGAAGGATGAACCCCCTCCAGAATCAGCTTCAGGGCGCTTTCGGAGCGGAGTCTGTTTTGCAGACTATGTTTCTTATCTCTTCGAGCCAGACCTTAGGCGTTGAAAATTGTTTGAAGTTCAGCATTGTTTATTGTTGCTACTCCACAGCTACCAGTGAAGCCAAGAATCTAATTGCTGTGCATGTCTCAAATAACTCCACCAAAGCCAGCTTTGCCTAGATTCCTCAGTGCGCTGCCAACCAATGATGGTAAGAGGAACACAATAAATCTCCGGGTAACTTTATCAAGTTCATCACAGTTCCCTTGTAGATAGGTATAAAACTTAAAAAGAGATCTTGCAAGTCACCCCGCCATCAGGCTAAACGACCTTTGACACCATCCATAAGGAAAGAAAAGCTAGATTTCTGAACTCTTCCAGCATGTAAGGGGAATCCCAGGTAATTCCAATGTTATGAGTATTGGCAAAACCAAGAATTCTGGTAAATTTGTCAATGTTTCTCCTACTTCTATTCTTTGAAGCAATAAACTTGGACTTGTGGAGGTTTATTTGAAGATTAGATGCTTTGCTTCTAGAATTTACGGACAATCCGGGAATGATAATTCTTTACTGTTCTGAAGAGAAGACAATCGTCAGCAAAGAACAAATGAAATACTTGGACCATTCTTTGCAATCTTCACAGGCTTCCAGGATGAAAATAATTAGTTGATATCATGAAACTCTTCCTCCTAATAACAGGATTGTTAATGTTATTCGCTGAACAAATAGACCTTTTAATGCAATACACATTTACTTAAGTTAAAAATTACATTTAATGTAATAAAAATTCATCTAAGTGATAAAACGAACATTATCATAAACAAGTGATAAACCGAACATTATCATATGATAAACCGAACATTATCATAAACAATTGATAAACCAAACAATTTAACTAACTTTAGTGGGACGCACCAAGGCCATTGCAATAGGGCAAGACAATGACGATGCATGAGAGTTAAGTAGCAAGCTACTTGAATAAATCTCTCCCTCAAAAAATAAATTTAATATCATGTGAACTAGTAGTCCACGTATCAGATATTAAACTGATAAGAACAGATACTACACTTGATCTTAGCCAAAAGGCCGAGAAAGGTATGTTTAATATAATGAAATTATTCAAGTTTTATATTCTGAGTTTTATATGCTTGTCAGTGTTCTGACAAGTGTGGGACTTTATAACTTGTGTCAGATTTGATGCTTGATCAAATTTGAAACTGATTACAATATTTCCAAACATTTTTGACATTGATATTACCAACCATGTTGATCCTTCTCCAAGACCTTGCTAACATCATAGACTATTAGAACTAATAGAACTGTTCATGCTGAAATAAGGTTTTGCTAATCATCATATATGGTTAGAAATTAGAGCACTGGTTCATGCCTAATTAAGGTTTAACTAATAGAACGTGATATATATTAGTCCAGCTATGTGAGTCCTATCTGTTACAGACCAAAGTTCCAGACAACAGAATAACGAACACACAACCAATCCTATCACTATCAGTCCAGCTAAGTGAGTCGCATTGTTTTTCAATAACATCACAAATGAAGTAAAAATTAGCCTTATGAATGGGAAGAACCATGGATATATTATAATCCCAATGAATAGGAAAAACTAAAAATATATATGTTGAGCCTCATGAATGGTAAAAACTATAGATATATGTTGATCTTCATGAATATGAAGAACTATGGATTTAAATATGTTGAGCCTCATGAATAGGAAAAGCTATTGGTTGAGCTTCATGAACAGAAACAAGCAGATCCACCTAACTTGGAAAAACAATCAGGAGGCATCAAGACACCACACTAAGTAAAACCATGTCGGTAACATTCACACTAAGTAAAACCATATCAGGAATATACACACCAAGTAAAACCATATCAGAAATACCCACACCGAGTAAAACCATATCAGAAATACATATCAGAAATACCCACACCAAGTAAAACCACTTCAGAAATACCCAGACCAAGTAAAAACATCAGTAACATCCACAACAAATAAAACCATATTGGTAATATAAAACAGTAATATCAACACAAAAACTAAAACTACATAATTATTCAACTGGTTTAGGTGGGATGCGCCTGGCCCTTGCAGTAGTGCCAAACAAGAGCGACACGTGGAGTCCCAGCAGCAAGCTACTGTGATGAACTCACTCCCTAAAAAGATTAATTTAATATCATGTGAACCATTGGTTCACATATCAGATATTAAACCGATAAGAACAGATACTACACTTGATCTTAGCCAAAAGGCCGAGAAAGGTATGCTTTTTAACTTGAAATTATTCAATTTTTATATTCTAAGTTTTATATGCTTGTCAGTGTTCTGACAAATGTGGAACTTCATTTCCAGGCCATTTGGAGAGTGTTGTTGTAGTTTTATGCTTAGTGGTTTTGTGAAATTATGCTTTAAGTTGGAAGTAGTAATTCATCTACCTATGTATTGGAGTTTTTTGTCCTCTTAAAATTGAAGGTCTCAGAAAACTGAATTGATTTTTAGCACCTCTCCATGCAGAGCGCATAAGATAGAATTGTCTTGAATTCTCACTTTAAGAGTTGATGAAATAAATAGCAAATATTCTGTTCTTGGTATGAGTAATTTAAGTAAAACTAAAAAAAGTTGTATTCCATTGACAAACTTTTAGAATTCCATCTTAAATTTTTTATTTTCTAAAAGTAAATAAATTAAATGTTATGGATGTTAAGATTCGACTCAGAAAGAAAAAATATTCTTTGTACATTGTTTAAATAACTCTTTAGTGATCCTCTAGACTAGTGTTTGTGGCAAAACATTAGTTGTTTTTCAGATTTTTTTCATCATCATGTTTTTAGCATTAACATTTTTTTGATACATTAAGAAGTCACTCTCACGATTTAACTCTATAATCTTCTATTCAAAATCTCTATGTATCTATACAACCCCAACAACTAGAGCAAAAACTCCAAATGGTAGCAGCATGAGATTCGAGTAGCTAGAAACAAAGTGATTAGTATGTTAATGCAGCAAAGACAAGGATTAGTGTACAATGCTCATGTATTAAAAAGTCTTCATCTTCCATCAAGTACCCCACTGAAGACTTGGCTGTCTCCACCTAGAGATGCTTCCCATTCTGTGGAAGACATAACAATCTGAGACAATGCAACAACGATCTCCCTCATCTCAGGCCTGTCGTTTGGATCTTCGAACAAACACCAATGAGCTACTTCTGCCATCTGCGAAGTAATATGTTTATAATAAGAAAATTATGAAAGAGAGAAAAATGAGATAAAATGAGTAATATGGGAGATACTAATTTACTATCTCTCTCAAAAAAAAAATTTGTCTAAACTAAACCTATTTATTTAAACTAGAGTACGTAAATGAAGATAGAAACCTTAGGGAAATCTAACCTTGTAGACATCTTCCATGGGATAGCTATGTTGAAGATTCCCATCTATAGCATCTTCTAAAACAGTCTCTGGGTATTTATTTTTGAAGATTTGGCTAACCTGAATGTGATGAAAAGATAATATTTCTTCTTTTAAAATAATAATAATAATAATAATAATAATAATAAATGTTTGAGAGTATTAAGTCAACTGCAGAGTTAAATTTCTCTGAATAAAAGTGAGCTAAAGAGTTTTTTGGATTTCATTTTCACAATATTTAATTTCAACCTTAAATTCAGTTCTCTCCCATCGCTTCTTAATTTTCTCTAAGAAATGAGTTTGACTTACAACTGTAACAAGTGATTTCATATGGTTGGCTTCTTGGTTGTCACGGAATAGTGCACGTTTCCCTGTTATTAACTCTGACAGAACCACCCCAAATGCAAATACATCCGTTTTTATAGTCACTTGAAGCTCCTTCACAGATCTAAACGGAGAAGAAAAGGTAACCAACAAAATTATCTGTTGTTTAATTTTTTATTTTACTTGAGTTAAAGTGTATGATGATAGCAAGAAAATAGTTTATCTGTTGAATGCACCAAGAGCGTACTTATTATCTGAAAGCACAAAACCTACTCTGGTGGAAGGTAGCCTGGTGTTCCAACAAGCCTTGTTGCTATGAATTCTTCATCATTGGTTCGTTCTACTAGTTTTGCAAGTCCAAAATCTGCTACCTACGTAACGGATTGAGTTTGAACTAAGTACAGAGACTTTGACTCAGTTTTCTCAACTTAGTAAGAAGAAATAAAATAAATTCAACTTCATCAAGTTCTTAAAAGACAAGTTAAATCTAGAAGGACAAGTACGATGTTTCAAAACATTATTTTATTAAACTACAATGTTATAGCATGTTTATCATATGATAAATGAATAGTTGATTTAGTTTAACATGTTTATTAAAAAGTTTATAACTAGCCCCAATTTTCTTTTAGTGGGGGCATTTTTTGGACAGAGCAGAAGTGAGCAAAACAAATCAAGATAATTAAGTACCTTTGCTCTGAGCCTCTCATCAAGAAGAATATTACTAGTCTTTATATCACGATGCACATATCGTGCTTTCGTGTAATCATGTATGTATTCAAGACCTTTTGCTGCATCCAATGCAATTTGAATCCTAGCACACCAAGAAAGAGGCTGGTGACCTGTTCCAATACAATGGTTTAGAATCTGGATATTATATAAAAGCAATTTTTTTAAAAATGTGTTAGAAGGTCGAGGTTGAGTAAAATAACCTAATTAATGTAGTACTTAACTTAGTCATGATGCTCTCACATTTAATAGATGTCATTGAATAGAGTTAATTGACTAGTATTTTGGATTAAGTTTTTTCTTTTACTTAATTCCTAATGACTAGTGTTCCCTTTACAAAAAGGCTACCAATAAGCTTAATTAAGCTGCATACCCATATGAAATATTTTTACGTGAGTGAAGTTGTAAAAGAAAAAAATTAAACTATTGTCAGATTGATATCATAAAGCATGTTGGTTCTTAAAGGAGTGGTAATATTGGGTTAAACTACCCAAAGTAATGAGACATTTTAACCTGATGGATTAATCTTTTGAAATGAGTTATCTTTTTTGCTTGAGTCCTAACATGTCTCATAGGTTTACTTTTGTCAGGAAAATGTTTTTGGCGTCGATATACCTTTCAGTAATGGATCATGAAGGTGTTCACTTAGAGATCCATTTGGAACATACTCATACACCAAATAAAGGTGGTCATCTCCGCTAGCATATCCCAACAACTCCACCTGAAACAGTGATTATATCTATTGTATAATCAAACATCGTATCTTAAAGACAATGTCAAAGCTCTCTTCATCAGAGATATTACTTACAATGTTAATGTGATGGATCTTACACAAGGCCTTGAGTTCTGCATAGAATTCTTTGGATTTATTAGACCTCATCTTCTTTACAGCAACCTCCTGAAGTTAAAACAGCTATCACTTTCCAATTTTCAATTAGCACATGAAAATATGCTTCAATGTCAAGGTTTGTTTTCATACCTTCTCCTCTAACATTCCAAAATACACACTCCCGTATCCTCCGACTCCAATCCTTCGTGTTTCATCAAAGTTATTCGTAGCATCTTCAATCTCCTCTAGATTATAAATTACTGGTCTTTCTGAATCAAATGGAGTTGCATCTGTGGCAATATTTACCATGAATAAGCAAAAGACTTTCTCAGGCTCCTTGTAGAGATATTAGCAAATTACTGAACTTCGTATTTTCGAAACTACGTTGCTTTTTCTTCCAAAAACTTATTTTCAAGTTACCTTCTATATGTTCTGTAAGAAAGTCTCGGTTCTTTATGGAAATAGTTCTATGTCCAATTGATCTTTTAGACAAAATATTTGGATCACTTTTGGAGGCAACGTTGGCCCTGGATCTCCTAAGAACGACAACGAGAATGATCAAAGTAATCACTGAAAAGAATGTCACACCCGATAATATGCCAATGATTATATTGTGTTTCTTGTCTGCAAACAAAGGAAAGCCAAGAATAAGAACTTAAGAGTGCCATCTAGCAGTAACAAGTCTTTCTAATTTCTTTCTATACAAACTACTATTTTCTAAACTTCGCCGGGTAAGTGCACAACAATCGGTGAAGGTTAAAAGTTCATTATTGCCCTACTGATTCAATTTCTGGGATTGAAACATAAGAAACATATCGCCTGATGAAGTTGAAACAGATGATTGAATGATCTATTTTATTTATATTTAGCAATCACTTTGAAGATTAAAAGCAAAGTAACCATATAAGTTTAATTGATAAAATTAATCTGAATCAATATTTGATGCAATTTTTAATTTATGAACATGATTAAAGATAGATACGAGGATGTGATAAATTTTCAAAGTTAAAAGACATGACATGAACATGATACAACAATTAAGCCTTTAATTTCTATATCTCAGTGTAAAAAAAATTATACCGTCAACGAATCAGAAATCATTGTTGATCTAACTTTATAAGTCTAATCGTCAACTATCTTACCATATATACATAAACAGTTTGTGATTAGACAAAAGTGTAAAAACCCTTACACTATTAGTGCATGCAATGCTTACTTCAAAATTAACATAAAATAAAGAGTTTAATAGGCATGTACCCTAGTGTAAGATTTTGTACCGTGATCCAGATATGGGAAAATCATGAGAGATTGAGGAAGAGAAATCATCACCTTTTCCTTCGGAAGGCAACCCATTCAGTTCCCTTGGAACGTATAGCACCCAATTAACATCTATGAATGAGGGGTTCTCAGCCAGAACTTCGTTCATACTCACCATGCCATCAAACGTAGCATTTAGCAGAGAAGCTATTGATGTGGGAGTATCATTACGCTGAACTGTATACGTGACAACAATTTGGGAGTCACTTTTTTCTGAACACCCACAAGGAAGATTTATTGCTAAGTTTTCATTTGGGTCCACTTCTGTATTAATAGGCCAAGCTTGGCCACTGTAATCGATGTTGTTAATCTCCACAAACGAGTCATTAGGCTTCACCTTGTAGGTCGTATCATAGAAATATCCGCCAAGGCCATTGGTATTGCAAGAACAAGGCACTGTTATTAGGTAATCTTGCTTTGTGCCACGCATTACAGGTTTGATTTGGGAGGGACTAACGGAGTAAAAGTTGGCTATGTCATCTGTGTTGTGATTGTAGCTTATGTGGTAGAGTGAGGCATTGCATGTGTTGATCTTAGAGGAGCATTTGAAAGGTTCCAAGTAAGTTACACTTACACAAGAAGTTACAAGAAGAGGGATCAGAAGAGAAAGAAGTGGAGTTAGAGAACCCATGGTTTGTGTGATCATGAAACTTGTTTGAAAGGGAAGAGAATAGGAAAGCAATAACGGGCAGGTTAATTTCTAAGTGGGCATCTGTTGCATTGCACTTGTCATCATGTGGTTGTTGCTTCTTGATTTCAAGAACTAGAAGCATTCTCCACTTAGCATGATTTTACAAAAGTTGATGATGGTGATGATTATTATACAATTATTTTGCTACCAATCGTAAGGAAGGATCATCTTTTGTGGAATCTCCGACGGCAATGGTGGCCATAGACTAATTCCACAAAACAAAAATGCCATGGCGCCATCACAGGTCACACTCTAGCTGTTGTTTAATGCCACTTGAACGTTGACGAGCGGCAAAAGTTAGTTAATGTTATATGGGTTTCCTTTTTATCCTCGCGTTAGTCGTTTTCATTTGAAGCGTACGAACTTAGATTTTAAAGAAATAAGTGTGACAAGGATCTAATTCTTGGTTAAACTTTTATGTCATATTCGAAGTTAACTCCGTAAGATTAAGACACTAAGTGGAGTGGCATTAGGCTTTTTAGTTTTATTTATTTATTTTCATATTTAATTTCGAAAAATAATTTTGTTTGAATAGTAAAAATGATTTTTTAATCTGAGGTTTTTAAAAATTTAACTCAAATTTGAAAATAAAAAGTTTTCTAATTATAATTTTAATTTTTTTTCATGTTGTTTCATTATTTTCTAATATTTTTTTCCACGCTTCAACTTTTGTCTACTCTTCGTTGATTCTCATTAAATATTCATTAGAAGTCCAAATTAAGTGTTCCAATCCCTATAGCAGGTGACAATCATTGAGTCCGATACCAACTCCACAAAACCCAATGAAAGGCCACTTCATATTTTTCTTACACGAATGACAGGTTTTTATGCCATTTAGCACAGCAAATTTCTCACGCCAATTCCTTCCTTTAACCAAAACAAGGAAGGGAGAAAAGAGAGGTTGAGAAAGTTCCTTGACTCTCAAACTTTGACCTAATTAATTGCCCATCCAATTGTAATCAAGGAAACAAATCCAAGGTTCAACAGGTCATCCCTATTTGAATCACAGACCATAATTAACAGAAAACAAGACATCGACAGGGAAACACACCTGTCCTTAATAACAACCTCAAACAAAAAACACACTTTCTTGGGTTATAAAATGTCTCAATACCATTGCATCCTGTAGGTGCCATTGAACCTACGTTGAGTTTTTCTCAGCACAGGAAAATGGCAAGGATCTTCCTAATCTCTCTTCCCCTAGTGCTCTTGCTCCTTGCTCCTTCCGAGGCTGCTGAAGAACCTTCCCACAAACCGTCATCAGAATTTAAAACTCTGTTTCCGCTTCTCGGCCGCCATGAGGATTCGAACACGGTACTAAGTGGCAATGTACCGGAGGACCAAAATACACTCAAAGAACGAACTCCCGGCAAACTCAAAAAAGATTTCTACAGAAAAACTTGCCCGAATGTAGAAAAAATAGTCACCAAAACGTTTTCCAAGATCGTTAAGGAGAATCCTGGCGCAATCGGTCACATGCTTCGCCTTCAATTCCATGACTGCTTCGTCAATGTAAGCATTTTCAAACAATGCCATGGCTCATTATACTCGTCTTTCTTCTCTCTAAATCATTCTTATCATGACCAAAGTTTCTAATAGCGATAACATATAACATACACATGTTAAAGCCCCAATTTGGTGCAAATATCACAATAAAGTAAATTAATAATTAAGCCATACTTTTGATTCAAACATACGTTTACAAAGTTCTATGTCAAAGTGATGGTAGTAAAATTGTTTTAATAATAGAAAAAAATTAAAAAAAAATCTCTAAACTAGTTTACAATTTATATAATTATTTAAAATTTTACTTTTTTTTGTTTAACTTGTGTATAAGATAATTTTAGTTATATAGAAACTTATTTCATTTTTTCTTTTATAAGTGTTTATAAAGAAATTTAATCAGAAGTTTTACTATTTAAGTTCTGAAGTAAATTTATCATGTAAATATTAGTTGAACTTCAACATGAGACTTTGGTCAATTTGGTTAGTTGCAGACCAAATTGACAAAGAAACTGAATTTCATTTTCATTATCCCACATGTTGATAAAAGATTAACGCTGTCTCAACATATTCATTTGTTGCTGTATATGAGTACACGTAACTATTAACTTTTCATCTGTGACTGGTCTCATCCTCTAAAGTGAGTTGTTAATTTCAATAGAGTTACACCATTTCTTTTTACCAAAAACTAAATTGACACAAGTAATACTAATTTAAGGAATCAAATTGATATGCGGTGCCCCCTTTCATGATATAATTGTTGTTTCAGTAGTATTATTGTTGGAAGTGTTTGATTGAGGAAAGACCCATAACATATATATGGGAATGAAATGACATAAGGATAAGTAACTAACCGAAGTTGGGGATGATGGAATTGATCAAACAGGGATGCGATGCATCGATCTTGTTGGATTTCACACCAACAGGTGACACTGTGGAGAAAAGTTCAATGTTCAATGGTCTCCTCCTGAAAGGGGCTGATATAATAGATGACGTAAAGACAAAGGTGGAGGAGGAGTGTCCTGAAACCGTCTCATGTGCTGACATAATGGTATTTACAACATACGAAGCAATGTCATTGGCGGGTTTGCCTGGTCAGAAGCCCCTTGGTGGTCGTAGAGATTCACTTATTTCCCTTGCAACCATAGCAGAAGAGAACAACCTTCCTCGGCCAGACTGGAGTATGGATCAAATCATGGAACTCTTTGGCAGGAAAGGCTTCAACGTAGAAGAAACGGTGGTGTTGCTTGGTGGACATTCTGTTGGCGTTTGTCATTGCGACGCCTTCATGGAAAGGGCGAACAACTTCAATGGGACTGGGAAACCTGACCCTATCCTCCCTGCAAATGTGATTGAGGAAATAAAAAAATCATGTCCTAACGCTGGGACAAACCTGTATAGGAACCCCCCAGTGAACTTTGATGCCACACCAACTGTTCTTGATAACCTCTTCTTCAAGGATTTGGTGGAAAAAAGGAGAGCTTTGATCCTTACCGATTCATATCTGTATGAGGATGCCAGAACTAGACCAATTGTCGAACAGATGGCAGCCGACCATACCCTGTTTCCCAATAGGTTTCCTGAGGTCATGGCTAAGCTCACTGCTTTGGATGTGCTCACAGGGACTGAAGGTGATGTGAGGAAGATTTGTAGGTCCCTCAATTAAACTTCCCATCAAACAAATAAATGTGACAAGGGACACGATGTTTAACTAATTTTTTTATTCTTTAATTTCATTTTATTTTTTACCTGGGCATTGTTCTGATTATCATCATGATCTGTGCCTCCTTTCATGGTTTCATTTCACGGGGAAGTTTTGTCATGTATTAATGGCCAACGACATTTGTATTGATATTTGATTAAAAAAATATTATCAAAAGCCAGTTAATTGCATGGCACTTGTTTCTCGTACAAACTAGACTATATGTTTTCCACAAAATTACATTGTTGTTTCCCTGGAGTTTCAACAAATTTGATGTTAGCAAATTGAAAAAGATAGCACGTATTCATTTTGGCTTTTTTAATCTGCTTAACTTTCATTGAATCTCAACCTAACTTGAATCTTATAATTTTACATTTTGAAGAGTGCTATCTATATTATTTCAATGAGTGAGTTCAAAATGTGCGGTTAACAATTTTTTGAAAGTTTTTATTTGGACTAATGAATCATGTCTTAACTTTATGTTAAACCAGAATCCAAGAAGAATTTTATCACAACTATTTTTATATCTGCATTTTTTTCAGTGTAAAGTTAATTAATTAGATTTTCATAGTTTTTAATAACAGGTGTAAGAAAATAGATTTTAATAGTTTTTATATTTTTTAATGTTTTAAATCTTTCAAATCTTTAAATTTATCATAGATATGTTAAAACTAAATAAAATGACATATTTAATAAGGATTACAAATAAGTAAAAAATATTTTATTAATTGTTATTATTTTCTTATAAAACATCAATATAGAATGTAGAATTTCATCACTTGCATAAAGATGCTTCCAAAACCCCCTACCTAATAGCAAATGAGCTCCAAATTTGAATAGGTCATTAAATTTATCCAATATACTTATTCAAATATGAGACTAATATCTCATTAAATATATGAAATAAATTATTATAAAGAATTAAAATATTATATATATATATATTAATTTAAAAAATCTAAACAAATTTAAAATGTTTATATTATAAAATAATGAATAAAATTCAAACAATGGGGTTCCATATTTCAAATTTTAAAATATTATACAATAACTAAGATTAAAAACAAAATTCTTCATAACATAAATCTCTCTCTCTCTCTCTCTCTCTCTCTATATATATATATATATATATATATATATATATATTTTTTTTTTTTTTTTTTGAAAAATAAAAATTTTAGGTCGAATCAAGATAAGAAAATTTTAGATTTGAAATTGGGTTGATTTCATTTTGAACATCAAGTTGATCCATCTATCCATAAGACCAAGTATCATAATAATAGTTAATATTAGTTAAAAACATGTTATTTTTTTAAAATATGTCTTTGTTAACTTACTAGCCTATCTTATTATATGATCAACTTTATTGCATTTATAGTTTATTAATAATATCAATTTTCTTATATTAATATATATATATATATATATATATATATATATATATATATGTATATTAATTATATTGCTTATTTAAAAACCTATTTATTAACAAACTCTTAAAACAAAAGCCAACAACCTCCCTTACTACGGTTAGTCAAGCGTTCACTTTGGCTAGAGTGTATGAAGTCGCTAGTTCCTATACCTGGAACAAGAGCCAACAAGCAGCAGAAAGGAATCTTATATTGTGTTATTTTGTTAAGCCCCGTATTCCTGGAACACAACATATCTCACAAAAAGATCCAGGTGCACGTTCCTGAGGTCGAAGATGATGTGTCGAGGGGGGGTGATGATGCAGTTATGCGTTTCGATGATTTTCAAGAGCAAGAGCAGTCGTTGATATCTGTTAATGTGTTGCCAGGGGTGGTAAACTTTAGAACCATGCGTGTTACTGGTTATCAAAACAAGAAACCATTACATATTCCCACAGATAACGGATCAACATATAATTTTTTAGATGCTGATATGACTCAAATATTAGGGTGCACGATTGAGCAATAAACCCCAATTCACGCCATACGTGTTTTTTATTCCCTTGGGTTGTTGTGATATGGTGTTGGGAATAGAGTTGTTGATGGCATTGGGAAACATCACGTGGAACTTTGATAAGCTAATGATAGAGTTTCATATATAGGAGGGAAACAACATGTGTTATGGGGTGTTGTGATCGATGGTGTCAATATGACTAAAAATCAGCATCTTAATAAGACTCTAGCTACTGGGGTACACATATCGGACTTGCAACTATGTGAGGTGGAAGGACACTTCTTACATTCACTCACCACTCATGCAACGCAATCACTGATGCCGCCAGAAATTGACCAACTTCTACATCAGTTTGATAACATCTTTTAAGGAGCACACGTAAAATAGGGATATTGTAAGGTTATTGTTGTAAAATAGCGATATTGTAAAACTTAGAAGGTACCTCACTATCATGTAATATGTTCCCCGATATGCTCCACGCTCTCATGTTTCTAGAGGTTATAATCATAAAATACCCTTAATTCAGGGAGAAGGACATATAGGTATGCAAAAAGCCAAAAGACATTATAGATAAATTGATCCAAGTTTATTTGAAAATTGGGGTAATCCAAAAAAGTTGTAGCCCTTTTGCCAGTTTGATGTCGATAGGGAAAAAGGATGGGTCTTGACAGTTATGTGCCGATTATAGAGAACTAAATAAAAATACTATGCAGAATAAATTCTCCATTTCTATAGTGGATGATTTACTAGATTAACTTCAAGGATCCTCCATTTTTTTTCAAAGATTGATCTTTGAGCAAGGTATAATCAAGTACAAGTGGACCCTTGTGATGTGCATAAAACCACTTTCTGCATGTATGGTGGTCACCATGAATACATAGTGAGACCCTTTGGCCTCACAAATGCTCTAGTCACGTTTTTGGGATTAACTTTTTTGGGATTAATCAATGTTCACTCCAACAAAAACATCAAATAGTAACCGAATTTTCGGTCACTAAATGATCAAAATCGGTTACTAACTAAAATAGTGACCGAAATAGTAACCAACCCAAATTGGTCACTATTTCCTTAGTCACTGATTTCGATGGATCGAGTCGATGATCGATTCAATGATTGAATCAATGATCGAATCTGTGACCGATTGAATCAGTCACTATATCGGTCACTAATAAAAACATTAAAAAATTAACAAAAATATTAAAAAATTAAAAATATTTTTTTATAAAACCTTTTATATTCTTTTATTATTTATTATATTTTTTAGAAATTTAAATTATTATTAGATTGAAAGAATTATTCTTGGCGGGATTCGATACTTTAAAGTTAAAGATCGATACTCCAACCACTTAACTACTAAGAATTTTTTATAATAATTTATAAATAAATTATATTTATATAAAAATAAAAATATATATCCATGTAAATATATAAATATAAAATATATAAATACAAATACAAATATATTTATATATATATATATATATATATATATATATGTTGGATGTGAGGGCACGCTCGAGGGTGAAAGTGTGTCGAGTAGATTTTTAAAATTTGATGTCAAATTTGTGAGCGGATCTCTTTATATGAGTTTATAATTTAATGACACAATATAATCTTTATAATTTATTTATATAATGATATAAAATAATTTTTTTCTTTATTTATTTTTATTTTATTTTAATTTATTCTTCTTATATTTTTTTCTTCTATTATTTAATTAAAATTCTTATATTAAAATAATTTTTGCAATATTAAAAACAATTAAATATTTATTTTTAAATTTATTTAATTTAACAAATTATTATAAATTAATCTAATTATGATTATTAATAGAACAATTTTTTACTAACATATATTATTATAAATTAATCAAAATCATCTTTTAATAATTATTTTTTCCAGACATAGATTAATTCATAATAATTTGTTAAATTAAATAATTTTAAAAAATAATTTAAAAATAAATATTTAATTATTTTTAATAATGAAAAATTATTTTAATATAAGAATTTTAATTAAATAATAGAAGAAAAAAAGATAAAAAGAATAAATTAAAATAAAATAAAAATAAATAAATAAAACAATTATTTGATATCATTATATAAATAAATTATAAAGATTATATTCTATCATTAAATTACAAATCCATATAAAGAGACTCACTCACAAATTTAACATCAAATTTTGAAAACTCACTTGACACACACTTTCACCCTCTAGCGTGATCCTCACATCGAACATATAAATATATAAATATATGAAAATATATAAATATATTTGTATTTATATATTTTATATTTATATATTTACACGGATATATATTTATTTGTATATAAATATAATTTATTTGTAAATTTTTATTAAAAAATTCTAACAGTTTAGTAGATGGAGTATTAATATCTAACTCTAAGGTACTGGTTTTGAATCTTATTAGTAATAATTTTCTTAATCTGATTAAAAAAATTGTTAATAAGAGAAATTATATATTTTTGTGGAAATTAGAGCAATTAAATTGTTGTTATGGACTAAAACTCAAAAAGTAAAAAATAAAAAATATAATTAAATAAAAGAAAAACTATATACTTTTGCATTTTTATTTTCAAATATTAATTTTTTTATGAAATTATTTTTAATTAAAATAATTAAAGTGATATATATATATATATACATTTTTTTATTTTAATTTATTAATATTATCAAATTTTAGCTTCATGATTAAAAAAATACCAATAATTTAAATTTTATTAATTCTATAATTTTATATAATTATTATTATAAATTTAATTCTCCAATAACTAATAATATTAACACATTTATTAAATTAAAATTCTTTATTTTAATTAATTATTTTGATTTTTTTAACAATTTTTTTTAATATAAACGATAAAACTTAAAATTAATTTCTAACTAAATCTTCACATATTTATGGTTAATAGTATATTATATTATTATGTTTAATTAAATTTTAAAATAAGTTCACTTAGTCTTTACACTTTTATAAAAATACTAATATAAACTTAAAATATTTATCTAATTACTAA